CCTTTCCCCTCTGGCAGCCTGGGGTGGGGGGGCAGGTGGGCACAGTTACCGTCCTGCAGGGGCGGCGGGGGGCCAAGGTGGGGAGAAGGCAGCCCTGCCCGCCAGGGAGGGTTTGTCCGGCCTCTCTGGGCAGGGCCAGGCACAGCGATGGGGGCCCCGGGGCACAGGCTCACTGGCTGGGGTGCAGGCTCTGTGGGTGGATCTCTGACCGGTTGCAGGAAATGCTATGTGCCTTGTGGTATGTTCTCCCATTCACACTTCACGCAGCTTTAGGATACGCATGTGGTTCCTCACTTGGGGACGTTCTCGGGAGCAATGTCACGGAAGGAGAGGCCCGTTACATTCTAGGACGCTTGATCGCCTTGACAAATTCTCAGAGAGTGTGCATCACTGGGGGCTTACGATGGTGTTGCCCTTGTCCGTGCGTTTTTACTTTTTAACTTTTACTGCAGTGTCACATGCCTGCAGAAAAGTGCACAATGCACCAACGCACCGCTCCGGGTCTCGTTCCCACGTGCCGTGGAGCCCCCACGCCACGCGAGGAACAGTCTGGTCAACATCCAGAAGCCGTCCTCCCGTCGCCTGCCAGCCCCGAGCCCCGGGACCCCCCTGCCCTGCACATGGCAGCTCATCGCCCACGTGCGCGGACGTCCCAACGGCTCGTTGTATGCTCACACCAGGGACGGTCCTGGGCACCGCACGAAGCTGCCGCTGTGACTCTGTTACCATTTACTGTTCCAGCCTGTGCAATCCAGACCTCTACGATCTACTTTACTATCCGTGGACAGTCGGGTTGTTCCCTGCTTTTGGATATTTCAAATAAAGCTGCTGTGAATGTGCTTGCACATGGCCCTCTCCGTGGGCACAGGCTGAGGGGCGGCCAGGTCACGGGGCTGGCGGACATGTTCACCGTTAGCCGGAAGGTTTCCCACCATTCTAACGGCGGACTGTCTACCCCTTGCCGGGGGTGTGGGAGGTGTGTGGGGGGGTGTTGCAGAAATCTCCCTCCACGCTGTAACTTCTCTTTCTTAATGATGTCTTCTAAATAATGAGAGCCCTTGGGCGCCTGGGTGGCTCAGTCGTTAAGCGTCTGCCTTCGGCTCAGGTCATGATCCCAGGGTCCTGGGATCGAGCCCCGCATCCGGCTCCTTGCTCCGCGGGAAGCCTGCTTCTCCCTCTCCCACTCCCCCTGCTTGTGCACATGCTCTCGCTGTGTCTCTCTCTGTCAAATAAATAAATAAAATCTTTAAAAAAAAATAGATAACGAAAGGCCTTAATTCTAAGACAATCCACCGTGTCAGTCTTTGCCCGTAGGTTAGCGGTTGTGCATCCTAAGACTGTAAATACATATCCTAATGTCATACTATCTTGAGATCCTAAATATCGTTTCCTGTATTATCTGGTAGGAAACTTTTTTGGTCTCTCATTTTTGGCTCCACGGTCTCCCTGGAACTGGTTTCTGTGGATGCTGTGAAATAAGGGTTTTATCAGTCAGCTGTTGCTGGATAACAAGCCCCCCAAATCTAGGAGTTTAAAACACCGGCTGTGCATCTGGCTCATGAGTGTGGGCTTGGCCCGGCTGCTCTGGGCTATTGTGGCTTCTCGATCTCTGTACCAGCGGCAGGTCACTTGCTTGGGTGACCTGCGACGCCTCCCTTGTGTTCTGGGGCGGGCAGGCTGACCAGCAGGGGACACAGGTCCCTGGGCCGTATGCCTCTCATCATCCAAGGGCCGCATGGTGGCCATGATGGGGTTCTCAAGGAGAGCAACGTGGCAAGCCCAGGATGCAAATGCTTTTGGGTCTGCACATATGTCCTGTCAGCTACAGTCCTATTGGCCAAAGTAAATCTCGAGCCAAGGCCAGGGCCTGAAAGGGACACCCAAGAAACACAGTGACAGGGCACAGAGATGGGGAGGGGGACTCTGTGGCCACATTTCCAATCCAACACAGTCCATCTGCTGGCCCCACATTGTCCTTGTTCCCCCACATGTAAAACACACTCGACCTCCCCAGGACCCAGGTCTCATTTGACTGTAGCCTCAGGTCCACGTCCTGGATCCTCTCCACACAAAGAGCCAAGGAGCAGAGAGACAGCATCTGCTCCCAAACCCACACCCATGGCTCCCTGTGCTTTAGAGGGTCCGATTTCTGTGGGACCTTAAGATGCCCCGGGTCCTTTCACCTGGCTGAAGGTCTGCATGGCATCGCCTTCAGTCTTTCAAAGGGGTCGTACCCCTCGGTTTGACTAAAGTTCATGAGCTGCATTTTCCACCTTCGAGCCATCCCAGGCGACAGTTCTGCCCGTTGTTTGGCACGCACATAATATAGGCTGTCCGCACCCAGCGTCCGTGATAAATGCCTCCTCGTTTTCCCAGCCTCTGCCAGCCAAAGGACTGGGGTCTTTGTGACAGCAGCATCCCCACGTCTAGGAGGCAATTCCTGTATCGGTCAGCCTTGCAGGACCACACACCACCTCAGCAGGTGGAAGCTGAAGTCACCAAGCGCTCTCTGAGCTCCCGCCCCGGGGGCTGTGCCCCCCGCCCCGTCTGCTCCTGCACCTGCTGTTGTGCGTTTAATGCTGATACGTTCTCAGCCCCGCACAAAGTTACGAGTGTTGCTTCATGCCATCGATAGTTCTCCAGCGTCGCCCGCAGGTCTCTCCTCATTGTCATCACCCTTCGCGGACGGCGCAGTGCCCGTCCGTCTTCGATGGCGGCCCTTCCGTGTGAGTGACGCCAAGCTGCCCAACAGGAACTCTGTCGGCTGTTTATTTGTGGGGCTGTGGAAACGTCTTCTTTTACTGTCCTTTTTTTCTCTTTGTCCTTGCTGTTCACATCTTCGTTTTTATTTTCTTAGGTGACATTTTCTTTTAATATTCCTGCTTGGTGTTTTGGTGCTTGTTCAGTATCTTTCACCTGGCTGAAGGTCTGCATGGCACCGCCTTCAATCTTTATTGAAATCATCAGCCGTATGTCTTTAAACACTTCTTTGGCTCTTTCCCCCTTTCCTCCTCCCTGTCTCTGGGGTGTGCAGGACCCTCCCGTTGTGTCACTGGTGCCTTGTCCCCCTTCTTCTGTAGTTGCCAGCGTCTGTCTGTCCATGCTTCCTTCTGCCATCCTCCAAGCAGTCGTCCACTACAGGAATTAAATCTAGGAAGAGCTATACCATACGATCCACAAGGCCGCCGACCAGACCCCAGGTGAGATGCGTGCATTGCCCCACACCGAAGGAGAGGACCCAGCCGGGGTGCCCATCGCCCTCTGCTCACCTCAGTGGGTGTGAGGACTTCATGGGATGGGGTCCCCCGACACACTGAGCCGCCAGTCTGCATAGTGAGTGTTAGCAAAGCTCAGTTTCTTTCTCATGGTTGAAGAGCAAATACAGGGAAAAAAAACTCCGTTATTTTCACGCACCGCAGCTTCCTAACCAGCATGCTCACATCGTCGAGAAGGGGTCTTCCCCCTTCCCCCCCACGTCCAGTGGAAGACGGTCTCAGCCTGATCGCAAGAGGCGCCCAGAGGAACAAAGCGCCTTCTCTCTGCAGCTCTGACAATAGCTTTGGGGAGCGTGAGCAGAGCCATGACTCCACTCCGTGGAAACCACACTGTGCACCCAAACCCCAGGCTTTCATGCTGTTTTGAAGACGTCTGGCCTACATCTTATTTTTGCCCTAGGATGTTTTCAGAGACAGCCTCTGTCAGACTGAATTTGAGTCACTTCTGGGCTTATTTAAAATTTGATGTTCTTGGTGCAATGTTCTCAGCTAATCGCTGTCTGTTCTGGGAAGAGCTGAAGCATCTCCCTCATCTGAGTCAGCTTCGGACTTGCCCCCAGCCGCCTGGAGGAGCGGCCTGTGGCCACCTCACCTTCGCACACAGGCACGCACCACCATCTCTAGGCTGCTCCTGACACAAACACCTCTGGGGCATGGCCTCTCCCTCACGCACGGTCATTCCAGCTTCAGGCTGCTCTCAGCTCCCGGTCTTCTCCTCCCCGGGGTCCAGTCAAGAGCCTGCACACCCTCCGTCCCCAACACAGTCACAACCTCAAGCCACTGCAGAGAGAAGAGGCAGCAAGGCCAGGGGACAGACAGGGTTGGGGAGAAGCAGGGCGACGGCCCCCAGGGGCTAAGAAAGAGAGCAGATTACACGGAAGGAGAAAGAAGGAAGGAGGTGACAGAGCAGAAATCACGTGAGAGAACAGACGTGTAACAAAGAAAACATCAACAAGCTGAAACTTGGTTCTGGTAAATGATCAATAAAATTGATACTATCACAAATCAATGACTGCTCTCAGGAGCGGAAGCATGGGCCCCTGCAGACCCCACACGTTAGACCTAACCATTAGCAAAGTCAGGCCGCGCAAAATGGACGAGGTCCTTGAAAAACAGGACCTCCCAAAATTGACACAAGCAGATATAAAACTCTGAAATGTCCTATGTCTTACAGAAATTGAGCCTGTAATCAGACACCTTCCCAAAGAAAAGTGCAGGCCCTGAGGGGTCCCTGGTGAGCTTTCCTTTAAGGAAAAATGAATATACTCTTGCTCTTGCTTCTGAAAAACTAGGAGACACACCCAACTCACTTACCGAAACCCATGGGCCCGTGCTCCCCGTGAACATCACACAAAACCTTAAACACAGTTCTAGCAAGTTGAATTCAGTGACTGAGAGGAGCTATGCCAGGAATGCTTATTGTTTGAACACTCAAAATCAATCAACGTGGTGCCTGGGTGGCTCAGTCATTGAGCGTCTGCCTTCGGCTCAGGTCGTGGTCCCAGGGTCCTGGGATCGAGCCCCACATCGGGCTCCCTGCTCAGCGGGAAGCCTGCTTCTCCCTCTCCCACTCCCCCTGCTTGTGTTCCTGCTCTCGCTCTCGCTCTCTGTGTGTCAAATAAATAAATAAAATCTTAAAAAAAAAAGTCAATCAACTGATTGACAGAACAGAGGAGAAAAACCGTAGGATCAACCCAATAGGTGCAGAAAAAAAAAATGATAAAGTCGAGCCTGTTTGTGATTTTTTTAAAGAACTACTTGCAAACTGGAAGTGGAAGGTCCCAATCTGATAAAGCCGTTTGCAGAAACCTTACAGGTGAGGTCATGCCTGATGGAGGACCATTAAGCATCACACGGGCACTGGAATGGGGAGATAGAAACACTTTCAGTCCGTGGCGCTGTGGCATCCAGTGTCTGTGTGGACATGAGGGACTGTGGTCTTTGTGTTATGGCACACACAGACCGACTCAAAGTGGGTCACAGACCGAGATGGGGGGAGGGACACACATGCAAATTGAGATTCTGGAGGAAGTCACAGAAGGATGTCTTCTGACCTTGGCTTTGGTGAGGACTTCTTGGGCAGAATGATAAAGTACAAACTGCAAAATAAAAATATCGATAAATTAGACTTCATTGAAATTGAATACTTCTGCTCATCAAAAGACACCATCCAGAAAATGAAAAAGCAAACTGAAGTCCGGTGAAAATATCTGTGATCCGTGGGACAAGGGACTTCTCCCCAGAACACATAGAGAACAAAAAGCAATAAAAAGGACAAACACCCCAGCCAAGACTTGGCAAAGACGTGAGCTGACGCTGCGCAGAAGAGGGCGTCTGCGTGGCCAGTAAGCATGTGAAACTGCACACAGCATTGTTGCTGGGCAGAGATGAGATGCCGCCGCACACCCCCCAGGATGTCTGTGATGAAAAGCACAACAGCACCAGGTGTCGGCAAGGGTGCAGGGCCGCAGGGACGCTCGTCCACGGCCCGTGCGAGTGTCAGCAGCACGACCACTCTGGAAAGCCTTCTGATGGTTTCTAGTAAGGCTGAGCACGCGTCCACCCCAGGGCCCAGCGACTCTCCTTCTGAGCGTGTGCCCAGAAGGGACGGGTGCCTCTGTCCACAAAAGACCGGGACAGGGATGGGCACAGCAACCTCGTTCATGACACCCCTGAACTGGAAACGGTCAGCACGTGGAGGATGGACACAACTCGCGGCCCCCCTGGGGTGGGAGCAGCCCGCCGTGGAAGTTAGCAGGACCGTGCTGTGCGTTACCCCACGCATGGTTCTCAGAGATCATGTTGATGGAGAAATCAGAGCAATGGGGCAACGGTAGGACTCCATTCAGCTGGAAGTTCTGGAAAGGCCAAGCGAACGTGCGGCGCTCGCAACCAGATAGACTACGCGTGGGGGGTGGAGGCGGGGCTGCCGCCTGGGAGGAGGCAGGGGAGGGCCCCCGAGTCCTGCCCCGGGGGTGGTCACATGAGCGTGTACAGGCATAAAACTGATTCTGCTAAGATTTGTGCATCTTACTCTGTGTAAATTAATTTTAAAAAAGTAATTAAAAAACCAAACAAACCAAGAACCTTTCAAAATACAACCTGACATTGGTCGTGAATCCGTGGGGCGTGAGAGACGTGGCAGGGTCAAGGCTTCGGCAGCAGCGGCCGGTGAGTGACAGTCCCAGGGACGCCTGCAGGCCGCTGAGGGACGCCCGCCACCCCAGCCCTGGGAACGACACCCGAGCCCCAAGTCGAGCTAGCCGAAGACGGTCACTTTCTTCTAAGCGCATTTTATAGAGGATCTTTACATCAACGTGTTTGCTGTCTGTCCCCCTTTGGCTCGACCAAGGCATTGTTGTCATATAATACACCGCATGTCTTCAAGGACACGGCTTGTTGAGTTCTGACACGCATGTGAAAATATGTCCACAGCCCAGACAATAAACCATGCCGCCACCCGCAGAGCCCCGGCCGCCGGGCCGTCCCTCCACCTCCCTGCACGCTCAGGCCAGCACTGGTTCCCATGTCACGTTGCCTGGGACCTTGTCCACATGGACTCACGCCGCACACGCCACTGGGTCGGGCCCCTCCCTCGGCACGCTGTTCCGAGCGTTGTCCGTGGGTTGCATCCCTGCCCTCACCCTTGCCCGCTGCCGGCCAGCATTTCAGCCACGGACACATTGCAATTTGTGTATCCACTCACTTGTCGATGAACGTCTGGTGGTTTTCGGTTTGGGGCTACTATGAATAACGGTGCTGAGAACATTCTTGAATGCGACTTTCTGTGGGAAGGCGCTTTAACCAGGAGCGGGTGGGGGCAGCGCCGGTCCCAGGCCGGGTGCATGCTTAACTTCCCAGGAAAATGCCAACGTGTTTTCCAAAGTGGCTGCTTCGTTCCCATTCCAACCGGCGTCACGCGCAGCTCCCTCTTCTCTGCGTCCTCGCCCCTGGACATGGTCAGTCTCTAATGTGACCGTTCCAGTGTGAGTGTCACGGGGACACATCCTGCTCTCCCCTAACCACTAATGATGTCGAGGACCACCACTGACGATCTCATCCCCAGCCTCTGCTGGGTGGGCTGCTTTTGGGGAAGCGTGACTGGAGAAATTTGCTCGGGGCGGAGCGGAGCCTTGCGGGCGGGCGGTCTGACGCACTGTTCTGAGCATCTCAGAGCTGCAGCTAGAGTCCTGGGGCTGCCTGCGGCCAGGGGCAAAAGGAGGACGCAGGCAAGTGTTTCTGGGTGGGCGTTTCGTGGCTTGTCACCACCTCACTGGCACCCCATCACTTTGGGGGTGCACGGCCAGCCTGGGAGGGACCCCGGGGAGGAGCTCCGCACATGCAAGGCACCGGCGGTGGGCTGCGGCAGCCACGGAGACCCTCGTGCTCTCCCAGGTCTCCCTGGGGAAGGGGCGAGGGCATTCCACATTAGGGGACTTCCAAAACCAGTCCGTCGGGGAGTCTCCCGCACGGTGCTAACGAAACCACACCACGTCTGGTGGAGGAGGGGACGTGAAGTGGGCCTGGCGGACAGGAAGGCACAAACACCACAGTGCCCGAAATGGCCCCGTTTTGAGGAGCAAAATACACCATTTTGTCTCCCAAAATTTGTTCTTTCCCCTAATCAGGATTTTTTCCTCCATATAGAGCCACAAACTATGGCGTGGCTCTGAAATCAAATCTTTGATGTCCACCTGGGAGACAAAAGATGACGTTAGCGATTCAGGTGCCCTGATGCGTGGATTTTAAACTGGACGGTCTCACGTGTGAGCCTCCGGAGAGCTCCCCCACATCTGACAGCAGGGGGCAGCGTGGAGGCAGTTGTGCGCAGGACCTGACAGCAGGGTGGGACAGGGCGGGCCTCAGCGTCCCCCACAGAGACATCTCCAGGAAGCCCGGCCACCGGAAACCACACATGGGGCGCTCACTGCCAGATTCCTCCATGAACGTCCAGAAAATGAACCAGTGGCCAGGCCTCGGAGGTCCGCAGCGTTCCGCAGCCCTGACGGGAACGAGGGCTCCTCCGGGCCCTGTAGCACCTCGATGTTTTATTCACTCGTGTCTTACATATTTCATGGGCTCTCCTCCCCCAGAGGCTTCGGAGGAAACACACGGCGTGTCCTTGTCAGCTGCCTGGACCTCCTTCAGAGCAGGACGTGGTGGCCTCCACTCAGATCAGAATGACCTGTCCTGTCAGGCAGAAGCTCCTTGTAAGGCTTTTCCATTTTTAAAGCATTGCCTGAGAATGAAGTTAAATGAGTGCTTGCCCAGTGTGGCAGGAGAGCCCAGAGGGATGTGCCGTCGGGGCACGTGTGGGGTGCTGACCCCTCTGCGCGGGCTCTCAGGATGCCCAGGGCAAGGAGGGCACGCCTCCCTGCAGGCCTGTAGCAAGGACCCTGGCCTGCGCCTGCCCAGCAGGCCCAGCCAACAGCAGGGGCATCTGCCCGCGTCGGGCTCACGGGCCGCCTTGCTGCACATCTGGCTCCACGGTGTCCAGAGCCTCTGGTCCCTGTGCGCCTGGTGGGCATCTGCCAGGGGGGCTGAAGCGCCCCAAGCCCTGTGGTTAACCAGGACAGCCACAGAGCTCCTCCTTGTCCTCGGGAGGGGACCACCTGCCCTGTCCGCTTGTGCTCAGAAGTTTCCGGGCCAGATCTCCAAGAGCCGATGCTGCTATAGTGTCTCGGCGGAGGGGGCCAGGGCGGAGAGCCGCAGAGCTGCGGGAAGGACACGTCAGGTTGTGTGCACGGGCACACAGACACACAAGCCAGGCACACACACGTGCATGCACACACACGGACACACAAGTGCACGCACGCACATGCAGACACAGTGCACCCGCCCACATGCATACAGACACGCATGCACTCACATGGATGAAAGGGAGCACTTCACGAGAAGGGAAAATGACCCCCGAGCCAAGGGAGGGTCAAGGAAGGAGTGGAGCAAGAGAGAAATGGTAAATAAGTAAATAGAAGCAAATACATTGTAGAAATCATGATAACAAGGACTCCCAGGGTTTAAATGTATGTAGAGGGGCGCCTGGGCGGCTCAGTCGTTCAGCGTCTGCCTTCGGCTCAGGTCCTGATCCCGGTCCTGGGACCGAGCCCCGCATCGGGCTCCCTGCTCCGCGGGAAGCCTGCTTCTCCCTCTCCCTCTGCCTGCCGCTTGCTCTCTCTCTCTCTCTCTCACTGTCAAATAAATAAATAAAATTTTTAAAAAGTACAAATAAAAAAATGTATGTAGAATTCTAAAATAGAAGAACAGTAATGCAAAGGGTGGGGTAGAACAGCATCAGGGCTTTCTGCACGCGTGTCAGCTAAGAGGTGGCAGGACTAATTTCCACTAGAGTCTAACAAGCCAAAGACACATTGCAAACCCCGAGGTGACTACTGAAGGCAGCAAAGTAATTTATAACCGGCAAGTGAATCAAGAATGAACATGGAATAGAGACAAAACTGGTCTGAACAGAGCCAAGAGAGGAGAAGGGGCAGGGAGCAGGTAAAGGGTCCATCTAAACCCAGATAATTAGACCAAATGCAAAAGAACCTAATATTTCAGCTAATAGGTGAAGTTTGTTAGACTGGGTGCAGTGGGGACCCTAAACAAGGACACGAGAAGATAAACATAAGATGTTTTAAGTTTGTAGGTGTGCACACACTCCCATGGGCCCTGCCCGCTCTGAAAGACCACACGTGGTGCAGCCGTGGGGACGGAACGCCGTCGGCGAGCGGGGGACGGAGAGAAACGTGCAGCCCCAGCTGCATTCCCTTCGTTGTGTTTAAGTTTTGTCAGATGCATACATGAGCTTGGTACTAATTTAAAAGGAAAAACGGGAAGAAGGAGGAAGGGAGAAACGAACCATCGGTTTAGGAATCTGGTTAGCTTTCCCTGCAGAAGGTGCCCGTTGGCTTCCCAGTTGCCGTGTGAGATGGAATCAGTGACGGAACGAGGGCCCGCGAGCCCCCATTCCAGCCGAGGGAAGAGACGGCACTTAGACTTGGATCCCTTTATTACGAAAGCTGACCCGAGTGCCAAACACAGCAGACCTTGCAGGGAGCAACTAATGTGAGCGCTGTGCCCTTCCTTACAGACCTCCTCACCCCTGAGCGGCCTCTGCACCCCAGGTCAGCCTCTCCCATCACCGGGGGCTCTGGCCAGGCCACGGAGAGGGTGGTACGGTCACCGGGGGCTCCGGCCCAGCCATGGGGAGGGTGGTGCAGGTCACCGGGGGCTCCAGCTCTGTTGAGCTGAAGTGGGACCGGCCCAGTCCCTGCAGCGCCCACCCTCAGTCAGAGCGGTGCAGGCTGCAAGCACACAGACCCCGCCCCATCTCAGGTTTAGAAGGAGGGGATCATCTTTGTCACTTGACGCCTCTCAGAGGGTCACCCCCTCCCTCCCCAGAGCCAGCCACCCCACTGTCATGGGAAAATATAATGAGTGAGCCAAAGAACACACAGACCCTGGGAAGCCCCCCACTAGGTTTGCTCTGCTCCCCGTCAGAGTCCCTGTTCGGAGGTCCCTCGCTGTATAACACAGGACCCCGTAACTTAGGGACTTACCCGGGGAGTCAGTTTTGCACACCATCTCGAGGCTTCACTAGGCAAGAAGGTCCACTTTTTTTTTTTTTAAAGATTTTATTTGTTTATTTCAGAGAGAGAGAGAGAGAGAGCCGGGGCAGGGGGAGGGGCAGAGGGAGGAGCAGACTCCCCGCTGAGCAGGGAGCCCGACGTGGGGCTTGATGCCAGGACCCCAAGATCATGACCTGAGCCGAAAGCAGACCAACTGAGCCACCCAGGTGCCCCAAGAAGGTCCACTTCTAAGGTGACGTCTGTCTTGTTTGCCTGTGGCATCCCTCCTGAGCACCCTCCCCACACGGAGGCTCACCCTCCAGGCCTCTTGGGGCAGCTCCATGCTCTAGCAGTGTGGGCCACCTGGCTTTCCAGAATGTCTGCCAGGAGGACCTCCCACCTAACACCCAGGTTCTCCACGTTTGGCAGGAGCCAAGAGGCATGCGTGGAGCAGAATTTCTCCGATTCTTGTTGAGCTGATTTTAGGAAGAGCTTTCTGATTCCAAGAAATCCCCTATGGGACAAGGCCACAGCTGTCCTTCCTTGTTCATAGAAAGGTGCAAATCACTCCCTGGTCCCGGGGGAGGGAGGGGGTGCAGCTGGAGGGGTCCCGAGCCAGCAGCCTCGGAACAGAGCCGGAAGGCAGGTGCCCAGGCTCCCCCAGGCTTCTTGGTGGCAAGGGGTGGCAGAGGGGGTGAGCAGGGGAGCACCTGCACCAAAGCTCCTGCAAAGAGTGTCCCCAGGAGATAGCCAAGAGCGGCCCCAGAGGGCGGACCAGGGCGGGCAGGCTCCCCGTCTTGCTGGGAGGGGTGTTCTCTGACACAGGCCTACGCTAATGGGCGCCGAGCCCGCCCTACAGCCCCGATTCTCCAGCAGCCCGGAGAGCCCGAGCACAAGGCTTTTACCC